GACCAGACTTCCCACATGGTGTTTACGTATATTACTGTGGGCTGCCAAGTCAGCAGTAAAGAAACCGTTCCCAGACAGTCTGTGTGTGAGTGAAAATTAAGCTAGCTATATGCAGGGAATGTCTTTAATGATTACAAAACATGTGGAGGTGAGCAGCAGATTTAAAGTTTTATTTTGTATGCTACTGTGTGACTTGAATATGAAGCTGCTTCAAGGTTAATGTCTTAATTGAAATAATATTTTATTATTGATTACATTAATTATTTATATTTTCTTTGAAGCAATAAAGTTTGACTTGAGGTGACTCAAATAAGGAGTAATATATAAATCTAAGACCTTACATTTTGGTTTTATGTCATGATTTTAGAGTTTTAATAACAGAAATCAGCAACCAAAAAAATCTATCAAAGGTATGAAGACTGATCATGGGTTCAGATGCTTAAGATAATAGTTCAGAAAATGACTAATTGGCTTTGAGTTTCGCCTGCTCCACGGATTTCTTATTGTGCCTTCCAAAAATATTTATACCCCTTCAATATATTCTTACTTTGTCAAGGTACAACCACAAACCTCAGGGTATTTTATTATTTTTTTATTTTATTTACTAGAACAGTAAAGTAACACATAGGTGTAGAGTGGAAGGAAAATAAAAATAGAATTTAAATGTTTTCTATTATCATTCAGTGGGAAATTCATATGTACCAGCTGCAAAGGGACCAGCAAATGGAAGAATTCATATACGCAAAAAAGAGAGAATAAATAAAAACAAAATAAAAATAAGAGACTTTACAATAAGCATTTTTTAACCATAATGCATCTTTCCCAGATAAAAATTTGCAAAGTGCTTCCCAAGATTAAAACAAAGGAGCCAAGATACAATAAAAACAATTCTATAGAAATCTGTAAGTCTTAAGGTGTTATTAGATACTATGGACTGTAGAGATTGGAGGTAAAATATGTGCAGCATCAGAAAACATGCTGGACGTTTTTTTACAATTCCCTTCAAAGATGAAAGAAACATGGCACTGGATAGAGTAATTAAAAATAAAATATGCATGCATATTTGTGAATGAAAGAACAAAAAAAAGTCCCCCCCCCCCAAAAAAAAGAAAACACAGCAGGAATGTAGATCTCTACATAAAGCTTGGCTGCAATCTTCCATCTTTCCAGGAAAGATTGCAGCTGATTCCTCGCACCCCAGCCACAAACTTTATATTTCAGACACTTCCCTCTGGCAGGAGGCTGCGGACCATCAGGACCAAAACCTCATGCAACAGTTTCTTCCCAACCGCTACCAGCCTTATCAACATGGCCTTGAGACCCTTGTGACTCTGCCTCTCCCATTTAGGACCTAGAATCTACACCAACGTAGCATCTCCGGACCTCCTGCATTACATTAATGCACAGTCTACTGTGTATGTAGTATATAACTAAATACTATATATTGTATATTGCATGTTTTATATTGTATATAGTCATAGATTCTGTATTATGTATATGTACATATCTAATTTGTCTGCACCATCATCACCAAGTCAAGCATTTCTTTCTACCGCTTGCTGTAAATTTAAAAAATCTGTCTCACTGGAAGGTGGACCTCCATCCTTGTCTTAAACCTTTTCTTCCACTGTTATCTTTTATTAGTTTCATCTATCCTCCAACAGCTTTTACAAGGTTTCATGTTTTTTGCAGAGGAATTGTACCCGGGCACAACCCAACAGACTTACACAGAACAGCCGCTTTAAAGATGAGGTTAAATTATGCTCAGAAGATGCTCTATTCTTAATTTCTGAAGGTATTTGGTTCCTTTGGATTTTTATTTGGGGCTAAAGGTTAACTTTATTGATACCCGTAGATAAATGGGTTTTGTAGTCTGGATAGGGGCTTCTCAAACACTTTGAACAAATCTTAGAAACAAAGACACACAGAACACATACAGAAGAAAAATTTAAAAACCCAGAAATTGACAAGTAGCACCTCACTCAACATGGTTAAAACTGAAACAACAAAAACAGATAAAGAAATATAAATTTAAATGGGGCAGAAAATACAATACTCACAGATTTTTTTAAAATATTTTCATATTAGTGAAATGTATTGTTTTGAGTCGGTCTATTGATTAAGAAACTGTCTTGAAACGCGGACAGATGGACCCAGTATTCAAGGAGAGACAGTCAGAAGGAAAGTTCAAAAGTTTATTAAATAAAACAAAAACTAAAGTGGAGCTGTGGCTTGTGGACACTGCAGGATGGGGAGCGGGGCACCACCCAATCACAGACACTCTGCAGAAGAAACACAGGTAAGTGACCATGATCATCTGACAGAAGATGATTATCTGAGTTTGTCACTTACCTGGTTTAACAGTCCAGTCCAAGAATGTCCCCAAGTGCTGCAGTCCCAGAGGACATGCTGGAAGCCGATCCTGGTCAGAAATCCAGAACAGACAGGAGCAGACAGGAACAGGATCCAGATCAGGCAGGAACAGAAACAGGTGGCAGGATCAAGATCAGACAGAAACAGAAACAGGTGGCAGGATCCAGACTTCCGGGCATCCATAAGCTCCCAGGAGGGTTCAGAGTCTGACAAGGTCTGAAAGTGTGACCAGGTGGTCACGCACAGGAGCAGACAGGATCAGGTGCAGATGAGTAGGCTCAGTGGAAGAGGGCAGCCGAGACAGGACGTGGAACCAGAACTTGATGCAGGACTTTAAACTGGTCTCCTCCCTGGAGCCAGGCTTACTGAGATAAAAACTGAACCTCCCCACATAGAGAGCCAGAAACCCAGAGGACTCCACGGGGGAGGAACAGTGGACGATCAGGAGACGAGACAAACACAAAAACCTCTTTCCACTGGCCGCCAGGATCCAGGACATGAACCATGAAATCAAAGTGAAAAGACAGACTTAACAAAAACAAATAATGATCTGGCCCCGAATGCTCAGGCTGAACTGAATATAACCAGAAGAAACAGGTGAGAGGAATAAATTATAATGAGGCAGGTAGGGAAAACGGCATGTGAAAGAGATCAATTCAAGAGGAGCAAAGAGGCCAGATCATGACAGATACACTGAAGATTATGGTTGTATCAAATAAAATATGAGAAAGCTAAAGGACTATGCATGCTTCTGCAAGCCTCTGTAAAAATCTATTGTCATTCATCTTTTACTGCTTTGTGACATTAAAACAGTAGACTAAGTCAGTCCCAATGTATTTTTTCCATATTCTCTTCGTTTTCAAATATACAAACCATTTAAAACAACACAAACACAGGTTTGAAACAAAATATTTTTACTTTTATTTCTACTTTTAAATTATTAGATTATATCTGGAATACTTTTAGTTAATGTAATGAAAAACACAAAAAATATAACACTACAACTGACTGCTGTAGTTTTAATGTTCCACCATGTAGTAAATCTGTCATAATGTCATGTTTTGGATATTTGTTTAGGAGACTTGTGACCAGAATTTATTCAAGGGGGACGTGTCAAATGATTATAGAATAGAATACTATAGAATAGAATCAAGTAGAATAGAAAATCCCTTTATTGTCTCACAATGGGTAATTCTGGTATTTACAGCAGCAAAAAAGATTATTGAAAAAATGGTCACACAAATGTGGTCCTTAGAAAAGTGTATAAGAATAACGTAATAGTGAAGTGTTAAAAAAATAAAAAAATAAAAAAATAAACTGTACTGTTAAGGGTTTTGACAACATAAAAGCTGTGCACCTGGAGAATAAATAACCAATATACAGCTATGGACATTTCTACAGTGATGGATATTTTACAATGGATAAGCTGATAGGCGTCCTAAATTTCTACTAGAAGTTAAAAATGTAAAACCTCCATATGTAGATATTTTTTGTACTTTCATAATTTTTCTTATACATCGTATTATACACCTCCCTCAACAGTTTTTGGGTTTCCTCGAAAACATATGCAGGAAAGTGTACTGAGTAATAAATATTGGATCAGCTGGACAGCAATATGCTGCTCTTTGGTGCAGATCTCTGTGACCTTTAAAGCTTCCCTTCCCATTTTAACGCATTTACAATTGTTCCTTCTGTGTGCATTTACACAATAAATATAGGACCTTTGCCACAGTTTCAGATTTTTAAATGCTTTAAATTTTGTAGATGCTGTAGATATGGGCAAATTTTGAAAAATAAAACATCAGTATGAATCTGATGCCCCATGAAACATTGCCATTAGAGAAGCAGAGGAGAAGCCAATAGGGCTCTGGTGACTTATTAAGGGCTGCAGAGGTACACAGTTCAGATGAAAGAGTCTGCTGACACAATTAGTTGTATGTCCCACTAATATGGTCTGTATGAAAGAATAGAGAGAGGAAGGTTATAGTTAAAATACAGTTATACTCTATCTATCTAGAGTTTAAAATATCGCGTGCAAATACGTGTTTTAAAGTATGATTTGTGGTAGAAAAAACTAGACTGCACATTAAACTGAACCCACCACCCTCCTTTTTTTTTTGAATACCATGCAATTTTCTATAATTTTAACATATCTTTGTTCTACCATTAAGCACCAAAAATGTACATTCAAGAGTGTGGTTGCTGCAGACAATTTTATGACAAGTTCTAGAGCTATAAATGTTTTTTCAATCTATTGTCATCAGACTTGTAAATTTGCCTTTGATACAAAAAAACCCTGATGTCATCTGTTTTCCTACTGTAGCCACAATCCTCATCATTTAAATGGTTCTTACTGGTTTATAAGTCAGTGGGATCCACAAACCTCTAAAGCTCCACGTTGAGACACTGAATCACGCCGTCATCTTTTTGTGGTCATTCACCTGTATGGAGAAGAATAGTGACCAAAGAAGAAGCTTAAAAAATGTAACTTGTGACTTTTACCATTCCTTAAAGATTTGCATGATGAATATGTCATTTCACCAGTTTCCATGACAGACGTGTGACAAACACAGTGCAAAAATGTCAGTTTTCTGTGCTCTAATTGGTTCATAGTAATGTCTGGGAGGTATAAAAAGGTGCTCTCAAAGCCAAAAGTTACAGTCTTCTTTCAAAACCTGAAGCAAGAGTGTATTTTGCAGATTTTACTGTGCAAAAAAATGAAGCTTCTTCTCTTCACCGTGGTTGTGGCAGTTATCTCCAGTGTAAGTATGGTTTGTTTGCACCAGTCTGTTTAGTTCCGCTATCATTCCATTTCATTATCATGTAAAATCTTATCTTTTTATTTCCTGTAGGTCAATGGGGGAAAGGTGAGCACCCTCACCTCACTGTAAATTCAAGAGTGTTTTGAAATAACAGAGATAATTAAAAAACAAAAACCTGTGCTTTCTGCAGACTGCAAGACTGTTAGCAGCCATGAATGCCGGGATGCTTAATGGGATGATGGGTGGAGGTTTGAACCCACCTCTGATGGTTGGTGGTGGAATGGGTTTAGTTGGACAGCCCCAGTTTGCTCAAGTTAGTACAAAGGTCTATCTGTTGTTACTTGAATACAGTTACATGGAACACATGGAAATACTTTTTATTTTCTTTTTAGTTAGTTCCTGGACTTCCTGCCGCCTTGGCTGTTCGAGCTCCTATCCCTAACATGTTCCCAGCCGCAATCAATCCGGTTAGCAGTCACGTCAATAGCACAAAACTCACCCTGTACTGTTTAAGGCTTTCAAAGTTCTTATTTTTTTGTATTTCTTGTTTAGTACCAGCTTCCTATGATGGGTGCTCCCCAAATGCCACAAATGAACCCTCCACAGCAATTTCCAATGGTAAACATCAGTTTCTCTCTAAGATCATGGATTATTCATGCATTAATCCCAAGAATGATTAAGACTTTCTGTTTTTCTTTTAGGGAATGGCGGTGGGTGCAATGCAGCAACAGCCTCCCTTTCAGCCTCTTTTTCAGCCTCTTGCTCAGCCTCAGGTTCAGCCTCAGGTTCAGTCTCAGGTTCAGCCGCCGGTTCAGCCAGATCCACTTCGGAGATTCAGGGTGAGAAGTTATGAATGTATAAATGTCTGTCAGACATATTTGGCCTTAAAGGGGTTAAATGTTGCTGTGTTTATCTCCAGCGTCAGACTGTGAAATCTGAAAATTCAGGAAGGCCTGCTCTGGACACTCAGGTATAACAACTCATTTGACCTTGTTTTCTTTTTCAATATTGATCCTGTTCTACTTCATCCATGTTTATTCATTTTTGTCACTGCTATCTTTCCTCAGATTCCACGTCCCGCTGAGTCCACAAAAGCTCCTCCTTGTGGCAACAAGGCAGCTAATTAAGTTCACATTTATACCTTGTTAAAATCAGCCACCATGACATAAAGAGGAACCTTAAATTGTCTTGATCTATATTTCTCTCTAATTCTAATCAAAATGAAATCAGCTTTTGTATCTGCTTCTCTGATAAATAAATTGCTCTAAAATCAAAATGCATTTGTATTCATTTAGTGAAGTTTGCTGTGGATCATTGCTGCCATCTAAAGGGCAAATTCATTTCCTCGTAAATAAAACTAACTAAAGTAACTTGTTATTTTAAAATGCAAGCCCTATTATGGCATATAATATCACCTGACAGTTAACGAATGTAATATTGTATTAATAACTACTTAAGATATTAAACAAAGCAAATGCAAAAACCATTCATGTCCCTTAAACCTTTCTTATTAGGTGATGCTACACCCTCACCCTCACAATGCATTTTATTTGGGTTTTATTTGATAGACAACTGCAATACAGTGCATAACTGTGAAGTAGAACTAAAAACATCCATGGTTTCCATATACACTACCGTTCAAAAGTTTGAGGTCACATTGAAATTTCCTTATTTTTGAAGGAAAAGCACTGTACTTTTAAATTAAGATAACTTTAAACTAGTCTTAACTTTAAAGAAGTACACTCTATACATTGCTAATGTGGTAAATGACTATTCTAGCTGCAAATGTCTGGTTTTTGGTGCAATATCTACAAAGGTGTATTGAGGCCCATTTCCAGCAACTATCACTCCAGTGTTCTAATGGTACAATGTGTTTGCTCATTGGCTCAGAAGGCTAATTGATGATTAGAAAACCCTTGTGCAATCATGTTCACACATCTGAAAACAGTTTAGCTCGTTACAGAAGCTACAAAACTGACCTTCCTTTGAGTAGATTGAGTTTCTGGAGCATCACATTTGTGGGGTCAATTAAACGCTCAAAATGGCCAGAAAAAGAGAACTTTCATCTGAAACTCGACAGTCTATTATTGTTCTTAGAAATTAAGGCTATTCCATGCGAGAAATTGCTAAGAAATTGAAGATTTTCTACAACGGTGTGTACTACTCCCTTCAGAGGACAGCACAATATATATATATATATATATATATATATATATATATATATATATATATATATATATATATATATATATATATATATATATATATATATATATATATATATATATATATATATATTCAAATATAAGTAAAACAATTGACTCCATCCTCAATCCATGGTTTAAAAATCTGTACAATTTCTGATGTTCTGATTTTTTGTAAAGAAGTTGAAAAAATATATTGTGTTTTTTCTACTTAGTTATTCTTTATTGAAATTTGTAATAAAAGTCTTAAACGTTGTTGGTTTATTGTAAGAAAACAAAACAAACACGCAAAAAAAGACCCTATTTATCTAAATGCTGTTGTCAAAGATCAACATAGCTATAAAGCGATATAGCCATAATACATTATTTTCCCAATAACAGATGATAATATCAATACCCATTTTCCTTTGAGCATTTTGTCTGCTTATTTGAAAGTTTATCCTCTGAAAAGATATATTTTGCCTTCAGTATGTAGCCTTTGTTTACTGTTTGGCTGTGGAAAACTGGATAGAGATGAAAAATTCTCAAATCTCCTCATCAATATTGATTAATTCTAGATGTCATTAGTAAACTGCAGGACTTTCAGTTCTCGAAAAAGTTTGTGTAGTTTAAATTTTGTACAACTTAATTCAATATTTTGAATACAGATTTTAAATAGAACCACAGGTATGGAAACTATTCAACTATTCCACACAAGAAGCAGCATTTGCATAAAAGTTTAAATATGGTGTTGAGTGCAAGTAAAAAAAGATAAAGAAGGTGATATGTTATAAATACCAATAAGTAAAGGCAGTATGTATAAAAGGAGATGATATTTTAAGAAGAGAAGTTATAGTAACTAAAAGGCTGGGACATGCTTATGTTGAGAGCAACGAATGAAACTAAATAAATAAATAAACAGACTGAAGTAAAAAAATTGTAGGAATAATTCAGAGAATAAAATTAAAGCAATTCAGAAGAACAAGAAGATTTTCCTCGCTTTGCATTACATGTTATTTTTCAACAATTCTTGATAGTTATTGCAAAAGTGTTTATAAAAACATTCCGCATTCCTTTAAAGGATTTATGTTATCCACAGACACAGTTTTGTACATGATTTCAAATGTGAAAAATGTTTTTTTACAGATAAAAAAATCAACAGTGTTGTAAAAAACATTTCAGTCTGAATACATTTAAAGGCTTTTCTCTGCCTGCATTTCTCCTCTAATTTTTTCTTTATTTTAAGTCAAGCCAGATTGAATGGAAAGCATCTATTTAAACTGATTTTTATCCCTTCAATTGTGATGAAAAACATATTTTTAACTGAACCGGCTTCCTATCGGTTGGATGTAGGTTTTTAAGGGATCGTCTTTATGCATCTGTGCTCGGTCACACCTAAAATAAAAGGCTAAAGTACCTGCTTGGCATTGGTTCAAGTTAATGAGAGGCCTGGCCATTAACCATTTTTTCGTTTTAAGTTTGTTGCATCAGCAGTGGCTTCAAAAGCTGCAGGAAACTTGCACTGAAGGACTAATTGGGTCATTGTAACCCTATTACCCTATGTTTAGGGTTATTTTTTCTGCTGGGAGGTATTAACCTTGGTCAAATCTGAAGCCTTTAGTAGCCTTAAACAGTTTTTGAATGTGTTCCATGTTTAAATCAAAAATCTTACGGCAACAACCTTAATGGTCTGCTTGGTTTATGCTCTGCGACAGTGATTGCCATATATTGGCAAAACAGTACACAAAGAACCATATATCGTTCCATAATGGTTGGATTGAAGGACATATGGATGGATGGATGGATGGATGGATGGATGGATGGATGGATGGATGGATGGATGGATGGAGAGACTGCAGTCAACCATGGTTCTGTAGACAAGCCTTGATGACGGATGGCAGTTTGATCATGAGCCTTCTGCTCCCTTTTTTTTCTCCTGACAAGCAAAATTTTGAATTGCTCCTAATGCACTTAATTACATACTGCGAGTGTTAACATGTGCGCTTAAACTCTAGGAGAATAAATGTCTTGAGTAAGTTTGACAACTTTGTCAATGAAGCAGAAAAAGTGTCAACTAGGTGGAAAAACCTGAGACAGGCTTCAGATTATTTCATCTCTCCTGTTCGAAAGCAAACAAAGTTAGAGATCCTAAATCTCTGCAGAGTGATGAACAACTTTCCACAGGGCATGTCATGGTGCTTATAGACGTGACTTACACTTAATGACAGTCTTAGCAGCTCTGTGTTGTAAGTGTCTGAGTCTGTTGTCATGTGAAATGTCTGTCATTCTGACCACATATTGTCTGGATGAGTTGCAAGTGGACTATTTCAGCTCATGTTCAGAGAATTTAAAAGGCATCTGGAACCGACTGAGGAGGCACAGAACTGACAAGGAACGAAGAGCAGAGCATCGGTAAGCTGAGTTTATTGTGTTCAGTTTTTAAAGGTGTTTAAAACAACTACTTTTTAATTAGAATTTAACAAAGTGTGAATATTTTGGCTCACAGCAGAACACAATGAAGCTACAAAGTGCCCTTCTGGTAATCTGCCTTCTTAGGTCAAGCCTTGCTCTGCCAGTGAGTTTCTGTTAGATCCAGCATTACTACACATAAACCAAGTAAGAAATGTTTAATGACTAATCAAATGTTCTGTGTCTCTTTTTGAAGGTGCAGATTGGACTAATTGCAAGCAACAGCAATGAGGTAAATCATATTTAACTATTAATTTTCCTTTTGTTTGTTATACAGTAAATGAAACAAATAGATGTAACTGAACTAATTTGTATTCAGATCTTGAGACTGAATGGATTAACTCTAGCTGCTCTTGGACAAGCACAGGTGCACAAGCCACTGTTACTGCTAAAAAAATTTGTTCCTTTGTGTGCTCTATCATTTAACACACTTTTACTTTCTCTTCCTCCAGGGCTCTTTATTGCCCCAGTATGTTCTGCAGCAGCAGACGCCTGATGTCTTGCTCACGCCCCAGGTGTTGAATTTGAACCCGCAACTGGGAGGTCCATTCGGCCCCCAGGGGCCACAACTGTTGATGCCCAACCAGGGTAACCAACTAACACCAATGCTTCTCCCTAATGGACAACAAGAGCAGCTTGGACCTCAACAGGACCCGAACAATCCCAACAATCCTCAGCAGGCCCAGAACCCTATGCAGGTACCAGAGCAGACACTAACGATAAACATACTGTTTTACTACTGAAACTGCTTCAAGACTTCCCGCATTAATAAAGAAGGGGTTCTAATTTTTGTAATCTCTCTTTTAGATGTATCCACAGTTTCAGTTTCCATCGTTTGGATTCCCTCAGCTTCACAGACAACAGGTTTTTATTAAAACATACTGATCCAATCCTAATCATTGCATTATATAGACATTTTTATTAACAAGTGAATGTTTTTTTTAAAGGGCTACTCTTACTTTCTACCACGGTATGGATATGCCCAGCAGAGGAACCCTGCAATTCTGCCTAACAATGGACAGCAGAACGTTGAAAGAGCCACACAAAGACCACAGCTCCCACTGCAGGTAATTGTTTCATAAAAAATCTATTTTAAAATTATATATCAAATTAAGTTTTTTGGTGACTATAAGTAAAATAATCTGTATAGCATATTTCACAATCAAAGAATCAATCAAGTGTCTACCAGAAAAGTATGCAATAAAAGAGGCACACAGATTGAGAACACAAGGGTAAGAGATTTGAAAACTCACCTATTTGGGGTTCCTGTTGTAGAGAAACATTCAGTACTTTAAATTTAATCAATAAAAAGATCAAATCAGTTTGACTTTAAAAAACAAAAATCATTTTACTTTGTGTATCGCTTAAAATTAAAGGTTTAAGCTGCCAACTCTGGTTACCCACTATCAAGGCTTAATGATAATAACATGGTTGCGGGTGTTGAGTCAGTGTGGATGCATTAAGTGTGTTGCAATGATGTCTGGCTATTAAACCAAACAGACAGACAGTTTTGTTACTGAACTCAGTGATGCTTCTTGTAACTCTTACCTGAAGATTGCAAAAACTGATATCTGATTAAGTCATTCCTTCTTAAAATGAGTGCTTTTTTTTTTTTTACATTTGAGG